AGGCACAGTGTCTCATGCCTAGAATCCCAGCGCTTTAGGAGGCCAAGGCAGGAGAATAGCTTGAGGCCAGGAGTTCCAGACAAGCCTTCAGCAGCTGAGTGAAATCCTATCTCTACAAAAAAATTAAAAAATTAGCCAGACATGGTGAGGTGTGCCTAAAGTCCCAGCTACTCAGGAGGCTGAGGCAGGAGGATTAATTGAGCCCAGGAGTTCAAGGCTGAGTAATGATCATGGTATTATATTCCAGCCTGGGTAAGACAGTAAGACCCTTCTCTTAAAAAAGAAAAAAAAAAGAGATTTTTTTATCTCTGAATTTCTATATATGTAATTATTACTTTATTTTTATTTATTTTTTTTTTGACAGGGTCTCATCCTGTCATCCTGGGTAGAGTGCTACAATGCCAGAGTGCCATAGTGTCATCATAGCTCACAGCAACTTCAGACTCTTGGGTTCAAGTGATCCTCCTGCCTCTGCTTCTCAAGTAGCTGGAACTACAGATACCCGCCACAAAAACGCCTGGCTAGTTTTTGTTTTGTTTTGTTATGTGAGACACCCTCAGTAGAGTGCTGTGGTATCATGGCTCACAGCAACCTCAAACTCCTGGACTTAAACAATTATCTTGCCTCAGCCTCCCAAGTAGCTGGGACTACAGGTGCCCACCACAACACTGGTTAGTTTTTTCTTGAAGTTGTCATTGTTGTTTAGCTGGCTCAGGCTGGATTCGAGCCTGCCACCCTCAGTGCATATGGCTGGCACCTTAACCACTGCATTACAGGCGCTGAGCCCTGGCTAGTTTTTCTATTTTTGGTAAAGACAGGGTCTCACTCTTTCTTTTATTTATTTATTTATTTATTTATTTTGAGACAGAGCCTCAAGCTGTCCCCCTGGGTAGAGTGCTATGGCATCACAGCTCACAGCAACCTCCAACTCCTGGGCTCAAGCAAATCTCCTGCCCCTGCCTCCCAAGTAGCTGGGACCACAGGTGCCTGCCACAGTGCCTGGCTATTTTTTTTTTTTTTTTTTTGGTTGCAGCCATCACTGTTGTTTGGCGGCCTGGGCTGGATTTGAACCCGCCACCTTAGGTGTATGTGACTGGCGCCTTAGCCACTTGAGCCATAGGTGCCGAGCCTCACTCTTTCATTAAAAATATCAAGACATGGTTATTATTAGCTTTCTGTCCAATAGTATCAAAAAGTAGCAAGCATAAGAGGAAGGAACAGTACATATTTTCTTTTTAAGTATCAGTGGAATATATATGAAGATTGATGATCCATAAAGCCATGAAGAAAATATCAATCAACTTCAAAAGGTAGAAATATTACAAATATTTTCTGAGTATAATGCAATAAAGCTAGAAATTAGCAGAAAAAATTCCCTTGTCCTGGAGATTAAAATTTTATCTTAAATGATGCTTGAATCAAAGGGGAAATATTAACCAAAAATTGAATCTTATGACATAGAATTAAAGCATAAAGCAATTGTTAGTATCTACGGCATCATTGTGTGAATTAGAAAAGGTGCTCCTCTTTTAAGTAATAAGAAAGACCAACACTGCCATTTCTGTGGGCAGTCAGGGACCATGGCCCTGCGCCCAGCAGGTGAAAGATGAGCATGAGGCTCAAGGAAATTAAAGCCAAAGTAAGTTGGTAGGTGTGGAAGAAAAAAAGCACATAGGTTTCTCTTCCCTATGGGGGGGAAATGAAGTTTTCTCTTAAGATTGGAAGCAAACCTTTAGTAAAGTTCTCACTATTAAGATTTTGAAAACCGGCTTGGCGTCTGTAGCTCAATCGGCTAAGGCGCCAGCCACATACACCTAAGGTGGCGGGTTTGAATCCAGCCTGGACCTACCAAACAACAATGACGGCTGCAACCCAAAAATAGCCAGGTGTTGTGGCAGGTGCCTGTGGTCCCAGCTACTTGGGAGGTGGAGGCAGGAGACTTGCTTGAGCCCAGGAGTTGGAGGTTGCTGTGAGCTGTAATGCCACGGCACTTTACCCAGGGGGACAGCTTGAGGCTCTGTCTCAAAAAAAAAGATTTCAAAAACCAATAAAAAGTCACATACAAGGAATATTTTCTTTGAATTTGATATTCTCAAGGACCTGACTCTTAAGGACAAAAAGACAAGAGTGTACTAGGTTTAATAAAATTTTCTATTACCACTATAGATGTTTCAATACTTAGATAAATCATCATTTTAACAAGGTACTGAGAAAAGTAATGATTAAAGTTTTCTTTTCTTTTTTTTGAGACAGAGTGTCATTGCGTCACCCTCAGTAGAGTGCCATGGCGTCACAGCTCACAGCAACCTCAAACTCTTGGGCTTATGCAATTCTCTTGCCTCAGCCTCCCAAGTAGCTGGGACTACAGGTGAAATAACCTAGGTGACCTGAAAAAATAAACTCGGACCCACTCAGATGCAATTAAATGGTGATTTATTCTCACCTGTGCAGGGGCTGTTGTTCTGAGACAAGTGGCCCTGAAGTGCAGGTTTTTTTGTCTTTTATACCTCTTTTTCTTTGCATAGCTTAAGCCAGCAGGTGGGGACAAGAAACGTTGCCATAGGCAGGGTTATAGCTTGATTGTCAATGGAGATGTCTCATATCCATTGGATATGTCAATGGTTATGGTTATATAACAATAATTGATCAATGGATACATCTTAAATCATAATGGTTACGGTCATACAACAGTAATTAATCAAGCCTTGTGAGTTTTCCACCATTGTTCATCTACTGAGAACTTGGGGTTTTGTGAAACTTAGGACTCTCTGTGCCTCTGAATTCTGGAGAGCATAGGGACGTGGCTGGGAAGGCCTGTAGGGCGGAGGAGCGGGGGAACAGGAGTGGGCAGGAGGTTGCCCGTAGGGTGGGGGAACAGGAGAGGGCAGGGGAATAGGAGCTTGCCTGTAGGGCAGGGGAATGGGGAAAGGCAAGGAGAATAGGAGCTTGCCCACAGGGAGGAGGAATGGGAGAAGGTGGGGTGGGGGTGGGAGGGTGGGGTGGGGGGTGGGGGGAGGAACAGGAGCTTACAACACAGGTGCCCACAACAATGCCCAGCTATTTTTTTGTTATTGTTGTCATTGTTGTTTAGCAGGCCCTGGTCGAGTTCCAACCCACCAGTCCTGGTTCATGTAGCCAGTGCCCTAACCACTGAACTATAGGTGCTGAGCCATGATTAAAGTTTCCTGTCATCTGATGTAAGTGACCCAGGGGAAAGTTTGCTAAGCCTGTGTATTTTTATTTTGTTTGTGTTTGTGAGTTTTTTTTTGTTTTTGAGACAGGCTCTTACTTTGTAGCCTAGGCTACAATACCCTGGTGTCAGCCTAGCTCACAGCAAATTCAAACTCCTGGGCTCAAGTGCTGCTCCTGCCTCTGCCTCCCACATCACTGGGACTACAGGCACCAACCACAACACCTGGCTCATTTTTCTATTTTCAGTACAGACAGGGTCTCTTGCTCAAGCTGGTCTGGAATTTCTGCTCAAGAAATGCCCCCAGCGGCTCGGCGCCTGTGGCTCAAGGGGCTAAGGCGCCAGCCACATACACCTAAGGTAGTGGGTTTGAATCCAGCCCAGGCCCACCAAACAACAATGATGGCTGCAACCAAAAAATGGCCAGGTGTGGCGGGCACCTGTGGTCCCAGCTACTTGGGAGGCAGAGGCAGGAGACTCGCTTGAGCCCAGGCGTTGGAGGTTGCTGTGAGCTGCAATGCCACAGCACTCTACCCAGGGGGACAGCTTGAGGCTCTGTCTCAAAAAAAAAAAAAAAAAAAGAAAAGAAATCTCCCCACCGAGGCCTCCCAAAGTGTTAGGATTATAGGCATAAACTACAACGTACTCAGATTGCTAAGCCTGTCTTAAAGGATGCCTGTGTTCAAAGCCAGGAAACATCTTTCCTCATCAGATTCTTTTTTTTTGCAGTTTTTGGCTGGGGCTGGGTTTGAACCTGCCACCTCCAGCATATGGGACTGGCGCCCTACTATTTTGAGCCACAGGTGCGGCCCAATAAGAACTTTTTTTTTTTTTGAAGTTTTTGGCCAGGGCTGGGTTTGAACTCACCAGATTCTTTCCTCAGCAAAAGAATCTGGTGAGGAAAGCATATCCCTCCTGCCTCAGTTTCCCAAGTACCTAGGACTACAAGCCCCTGCCACAATGCCTGGCTAAATTTTTTTTAAAAATAAAAACAGTGTCTCACTCTTGCTTAGGTTGGTCTTGAACTCCTGAGCTGAAGCAATCCTCACCCCTCAGCCTGCCAGAGTGCTAGGATTACAGGAGCGAACCATCAGACCAAGCCTTGCTGTAGAGTATTTTCGAATGGAGGGATTCCTAACATTGTGTTCCTAAAATCACAAAAGGTGCTGCACTCCTTGGATTCTATTTCTTATGGATAGCTTTCTTTTACAGTAGCATCTCTCCTAGAGTGGCAGCAGTAAGGTCTCCAGGTGCTATGGAAGAATGGGGACCTCACCAGGCAAGGCTGTGCGGGCCACGCACTCAGAGGGTCCAGAAATACAGTGCTGTTGAGGCAGGAAAATGAAGATACAGTTAGAATGAGATGAATAGCAACCTAGAGAAGGAGGCGAAGGTGTGTTGTCTGTCTTTCTGGGGTGAGGAGGAGGGGCGGCTCAAGGTTGATTTTCAAGCATGAGTCATCAGGCAGGAGTTTAAGAGGTTTCCATGGTGACACAAAGGGGACAGAAGCTGGAGACAGGCTACAGTGGTGCGGTGACCAAATAAAGACTTGGTTGCTAGGGTCAGGGAATAAACACAAGGAGCCCAGAGGAAGGGAGATGGAGCCCCAGTCCCTGGTCCCTTCTCCCACCCCTTCTTCCCCAAGGCTATCTAAGATGTCACCTTTAACCTAAACATCATCTCCCTAGTTTTTGTTCTTATCTCTGGCCTTTGACTTCTGCTTGGCTTCACATTTTCCATCCATTTGCACAGAGGACCATCACCTGTGTTTCCTGTAATCTCTAAGAGTTTCTGCTTTCCTTGTGCCCTGATGGCCACCTCTGACGAGTCAGACAAGATGCCTACCCTCCCTGAACCCCTTAACCCCACTACTGATCTTCATCAAGAACCTTTGGACGCTAGGATTATCATTGCCTTACTTGGAACTGGATCGTTTCCCCCTTCCTTCTGGGGCTCCCTCCCTTCCTTAAATAATAGTAGCCATCAAGTAACAGACCACGAGACTGAACAGAAGGTTCAAAATCTCGTAAAAGTAATTAAAGATATTCTTAAAAATGTGGCAAGTTCTGAAGAGAGTAGCATAGAAGTAAAAGAATCTGGTGAGGAAAGCGGTATCTCCAAGGATGTCTCAGAACTTGAAAACAAAATCAGAGGACTCGACCAAAGGAATAAAATTCTATTGAGAAAACTGCTTGTTAGTTTAGACCCAGAGAAAGAACACAATGCAAAGAAAGAGGAGATGATGTTGGAAAACCTGAACAACAACAACGTGGCACAAGTTTTTGCAAGGGATTCAATAAATCACTCAGAAGAAAAAACAGCCTTCAATGGAACTCAACTAAGCAACAACAAAGCAGAACACGGATTCCTTGATATTCAAGAAGAAAATCAGAAATTTAGGAAGGACATGGAGCAACTGCTACAGGAAACAGAACACTGGAGTCAACAACACACTGAGCTCAGTGAACTGATAAGATCCTATCAGAAATCTCAGAAAGATATAAAAGAAACTCTTGAATATGGTGGAGTCCGTTTCCATGTCCAGCCAGATAATGACGCAGCGGCTCAGCGTAGGCTGGAGGAGCAAGTGAGGCAGCTGAACCACAACTCCCATGCCGTGCACCTGCTCGCAGCCTTGCTGGAGAATGAGTGCCAGATCTTACAGCAGAGAATAGAGATTCTCAAGTGGCTGCAGCAGCATCAGCAAGAGAGAATTCTACAAGAGGAGCCAATTCAGCACAAGAAATATCAGAACCCATCAGGAGCAGAGAAAATAGAAATTTATAAGCAGAGTATGCAAAAAAGGGAGCACGAATTTCCAAGAAAAGGCAGAACCCATAGAAGGCTGGATGTTTGTCGTAGTAAGAAAGCTTCCAACAACCGGTTCAATACTCAAATCGCAAAATCTCTTCTGGGAATAAAGAGGCCATCCAGCTGCCTAAAGTAGAAAATATCAAACGCAGTGGGGAGGGGGGGAAGTGAATCTTCAAAAAACTACATCTAATACAGCCAACTTTCGGCATGATTGATCATCCAACTTGGTTCAACCACCAAAGAACTGTAGAATAAGAAGATTAACACTTTACTCATTACCTCAGTAATTATGTAAGTTTGGCTTTTAACAACCATTGTCTGCCATGTCAAGTTTATAACTTTTCACCTTTGCAAATTGCTGTGTCTTTTTTTGTGTGTGTGTGGTTTTTAAATTTTTTTTCCCTTGGTAATTTTTAGAGAGCTTATGACCAAAAGTGAGAAGTTACAGGTCCAATTAAATAAAGATCTAAATAAAAACCAGAATACAAAGAGAGCATTTTTTTTCTTTCTTTAATCATTGCCTGGGGAGAGGGAATTTCTGGGGGGAAAAAGTATGTCATGCTTTAATTGTGACCTTTTAAAGCTCACTTTCTGAGCGCCTGTAGGTCAGTGGTTAGGGCGCTGGCCACATGCTTCGGGGCTGGTGGGTTCAAACCCAGCCTGGGCCTGCTGAACAAACAAACAAAATATATAGTTGGGCTTTGTGGCAGTTCACCTGAAATCCCAGCTGCCTGGGAGACTGAGGCAAGAGAATCACTTGAGCCCAGAAGTTTGGGGTTGCTGTGAGCTATGATTGCATAGCACTCTACCGAGGGTGACAAAGTGAGACTGTCTCAATAAAAAAAAAAGAAAAGAAAAAACTCACTTTCTAAATATATGCTTTTTTCCCCTATTATATATTAAGGTATAGGTTATGATGGGGTAATAAAAAATGCTAATAAACCACCCTAGAACAAGTAGTTTTTCTTTTCTTTTTTTTTTTTTTGAGATGGAGCCTCAAGCTATCCCCCTGGGTAGAGTGCCGTGGCATCACGCTCACAGCAACCTCCAACTCCTGGGCTCAAGCGAGTCTCCTGCCTCAGCCTCCCAAGTAGCTGGGACCACAGGCACCCGCCACAACGCCTGGCCATTTTTTGGTTGCAGCCATCATTGTTGTTTGGCGGGCCCAGGCTGGGGATTCGAACCGGCCACCTTAGGTGTATGTGGCTGGCACCTTAGCTGCTTGAGCCACAGGCGCCGAGCCAACAAGTAGTTTTTCCTTTTATAAATCTCTCCACTCACCGGCTCTACTTTTCCTAATATTCCTCCCTTGCTTTTCCAACTAGCGAAAATGTGGGCGTATTGGGCAGCAGAGGCCCTTGGGAAGTACCTTGTTCAGAAGAGTAGAGATAGATCTAGATTTCGTTCTTTGCTGAAAAAATTCCTCCCATTCCTCCAGGTGGGGACAAAGTTACTAGGGGAAAAAGCACTATGTTCCATTAAGGGAGCTGAACTTCTGGTTCCAGAAAAAAATGGAGCAGGTGCATTTCTTTTTATTCCCATTAAGTAAGCCCAAAACCCTAGAGATTACATATAAAACACATATAAGAGGATTCTGCAAGGTAGAGAGAAGTAGGTGCACTGGCCAGGGACCCTGAAACTTAAGAAACATGGTATTGAGTTCCCTGGGTCTTCTTTCTGCCTCTCAGATGTCCTGAAGAAGCCTATACCCAGAAGTGTCCATGCATGTAGACGAACATGCCTCTCAGAAAGCCTGATCTCTTTTGCCAAAAAATCAAGGAAAGGACAGTCTGGCAAGACAGAAACATTTTGATAAAAACTGGTTCTAATACAACCAAATTATATAGAAAACACTACACCTCCCCTCCACCTCCCCATACAGTTCTCCATTGGTAAATACTGAGCTTGAGAGACCAGACATTCATTCCTGCCTGGTGGTAGAGAGGCCCTTCTCCCTTGTTCTTCTGGGATGGTGCAGAAGAGGCAGTGGGGAGCCTGAAATTGCACCTTCCACCTGAGAGTAACAGGATGCTCTTCCCTGTCTTCCACTCCCAGGAGAGTGGAACGTCAGTGGAAGCACATGGGTAGCCTGGATTTTTATCCCTTTCTTCTGCTGGCAGGATCAACAGAGGCCTACTATAATAAAAAAAGAAGAGTTGATAGGATCCAGGGTCTCATAACAATGCCGTAAATGTCTCGGATACAACAGAAAAATCCCTTATTGTATCAAGAACAATAAATATCTAAATTTGGATGAGAAAAGATAATTTTTTTTTTTTT